ATATACAAGCACACACACACACACACACACACACAAACACACACACACACACACACACGCGTGCGCACAGACAAAAAGAAAACTCCCAATCTCATCTTGCCCTTCCACCATCTTCCTATAGTGTTCGCTTGTCTTCACTTTTACCACACCCTGTGCTACACATACTCAACAGCCCCTCTCTCCCAGACACACCTCCACACACACAAAGAGAGCTCACAATCTCACCTTGCCGCCATGCCAACAGCCCATTCCTTCCACCATCCTCCTGTAGTGCTGCCTCATCTTCATCTGCACCACGCCCCCGTCCTCGCCCGGCAGATGGAAGTACACCAGCAGGGACGTGAGGCCAAGCATCACCACGGCCACCACGCGCTGCCAGAACTTCATGCCTGCGCCAAACCACATCACTTTCCGGGCCTCGGAAAGGCTTCACTGCAGCTGAGCAAGATCTGTGTTCTACTCCCCTCTTGTGGAACGCGGAACTCGATCTCTCTCCACTAACGCCAATTAACAGATGTTAATTAACGATAGGCTCTTAACTCAACTGTTCTGCACAAAGTGTATTCGCTGATCTCGGTTGTTTCTATTCAAAAACTATTTTCTAATATCAATTGTTTCTCCTAAAAGCCTATTCTCAACATTAACGTCTTTTCTTAAAGTTGAATCCCTAATCTCGATCTTTCTCCGGTCAAAAACCTTGCTTGCAATCTCAAAACTGACGTCTGACCTTTCACTTAGCTCGTTTTATTACAACCTTTCCTCTCTCAAAACAATGCTAAACTCTGACGTTCACCAAACGAAACACAATCCCATCTAAAGTCGCTTCTCTCTCTTCTCCAGCAGCTTCTTCTACTGGCCTTTTCAACTGCTCCCCTGCTTGAAGCCACCACGAGCAACAAGTATGTCCTCTCTTCGTCGAATCCTCACACCTTCCAAACCGTGATTCTGGTCTCTTCCTGGTCTTTCTCTACCGATGAATACGTTGCGTCCTGATCTACCAGCAAAGACGCCTTCTCTCCCAGCTCTCTACCCGCGAAAACGTCGCCTTTTCTTCCAAAGTAACGACCTCGTCGCTGTTCGTCTCTGGCTGACCTAGTTTCTCCTAGTGAACCTGGCGACGTGGTGGTCGGTGTTTTCCCGACTGCAGCTATCCCCGTCACAAGATCAAGGTGTTGTTGCTTCCCCTCGCTGCCACCTCTCCGCATCGTTGACCACACAGCCGCACTCTTCCCCGGCCGCTTGTGCGGGGCTGCACTTTGGCATCTGGGAAAAGTACAAACATACACTACATGATGATCATATTTTAAAAAGCTTACAATAAAGCGTGTAAGTGCATGCGCACTTATGAACAGAAGTAAACGAACGCAAGCAATCACGCACAAACACACGCACGCCGCACACATGCACACACACATACACACACACACACACACACACGCAC